TTGGTGTGTGGGGAGGCAGGATCAGGTGGCGGCAGAGCACCTGGGTATATGTACATTATTGGTAACAGTCCCATTCCTCGGTTGGGTGGTGAATTTATAGACATTAACTAGCTTATTTATTATTATTATTATTATTTTAGAGATAGGCTCTTGCTCTGTTGCCCAGGCTGGAGTGCAGTGGTACAATCATAGCTCACTGTAACCTCAAACTCCTGGGCTCCATTGATAATCCCATGTCAGACTCCTGTGTAGCTGGGACTGCAGGCGTGCACTAGCATGCCCGGCTAATTTTTTTATTTTTTATTTTTGTAGAGACAGGATCTCACTATGTTGCCCAGGCTTGTCTTGAACTCCTGGCCTTAAGTGATCCTCCCACCTCAGTCTCCCAAAGTGCTGAGATTATAGGTGTGAGCCACCGTGCCCAGCCAAGTAAATAAAAAATAAACAAAATGAAAGAGGGCCTGGAGTGGACAAATGCTGATGGATAATGAGGAATCTGGCCCTGTGCATCTAAAGTGAAAAAGCAAAGTCTAGAAAAGCAAACAGCATGTTCCTGTGAGAACATGGGCAGCCTCCTGGGGCCTCCCCCATTTGCTTCCTTTGAGCCATCAGCAGTGTTTTCCATCTTGTAAAACAGAGTGGCAGAAACAGAGCCACACAAATACAGTCAACTGATCTTTGACCAAAGAGCACAGGCAGTTTGATGGAGAAAGGGCAGTCTCAGCAAATGGTGCTGGAACAACTGGACATCCACATGCAAAAAAAATGAATCTAGGCACAGACTGCCATGGTTTGAATGTTTGTGTCCTTCCAAAATTCACACATCGAAACCCAGTCACCACGATGAGGTATCATAAGGTCTCTAGGACTCCACCTTCTGAATGGGATTAGTGCCCCGATAAGTGGCTTCAGGGAGCTGCCTTACTTCCCCCCTTTTCCACAACCATGAGAAATAATTTTCTGTTGTTTATAATTGCCCGTCTAAGGTATTTTGTTATAACAGCCAGAAAGGGCTGAGACACAGACCTTACACCCTTCACAAACATTAACTCAAAATGGATCATAGACCAAAACTATAAAATCCTAGTAGATAACATAGGGGAAAATTGGATTTGGTGATGACTTCTTTAGATACAATATCAATAGCACGATCCATGAAACAGCAGCAAACATGGGTTCTGGCTGACTAACGACAGGGCCAGTCCATGGCTCTAGGGTCAAGGTGCACACGAGAAGGAAGCTGGACAGAGTTTCTGGGTCATGGTCTGGCCTTGGCCTTCCTGACAGTTCCCTTCTGGGGAAGCCAGTGGGCAAGGTCACGAGCAACTCCTGGGAAACAGGAGTTCCCAGTCACGCATCTGACAGGGCTGGGATGGGGATCAGGGACTGCATATCCAGTGGAAAAAATATAGTCGGCCCTCTGTATCCACAGGCTCTGCCTCTGAGGATTCAACCAATCATGCATCAAAAATCTTTGAAAAAATAAAATATGTAACAATAAAAAATAGCATAAATAAAAATCAATACAGTATGACAACGATTACGTAGCGTTTCCATTGCATTAGGCATAATGAGTAATCCAGAGTGATTTAAAGTATACAGAAGGATGCATGCAGGTTACATGCAATACCACACCATTTTATACGAGGGACTGGAGCATCGGAGGATTTTGGTATCTGTGAGGGTGGGGGGGGTGGTCCTGGAACTAATCTCTAGGGACACAGAGGGAATCCTGTAGTCAGAAGAGTGGACTCCTCTGTGTGCCCTGCTTGTAAGCATACCATGGCCTCTTTGCAGCTCTCCAGGGTGGGTTAGAGGGGAACCCTTCTATGTGGTATCATAGTGTCCTCAGCAGTCCAAGCTTCAGAGCCTGGAGGGAGAGCAGGGACTTCATCAGTACAGAGTCAAGATAGGACCCTTCCAGATAAGAATATGGGCCAGACTCACCTGGGCATGTTTTCTTTGGGTTAAAGAATGCTACAGGCCGGGCGTGGTGGCTCACGCCTGTAATCCTAGCTCTCTGGGAGGTTGAGGCAGGCGGACTGTTTGAGCTCAGGAGTTCGAAATTAGCCTGAGCAAGAGCGAGACCCCGTCTCTACTAAAAATTACAAAGAAATTAATTGGACAACTAAAAATATATAGAAAAAATTAGCTGGGCATGGTGGTGCATGCCTGTAGTCCCAGCTGCTCGGGAGGCTGAGGCAGGAGGATCGCTTGAGCCCAGGAGTTTGAGGTTGCTGTGAGCTAGGCTGACACCACGGCACTCACTCGAGCCTGGGTAAAAGAGTGAGACTCTGTCTCAAAAAAAAATAAAAAAGAATGCTACAGTGGCCCCGGGGATCATGGTGGTGACAGCCCTTGCCATGTCTGTCTCTTGAGCACAATGCTCTGTTCCAGCCTGGCTGCACCATCCTCTCCTCATTGTCGAGTTCAGATCAAAGTAACTGCCCCTGGATCAGCTGGCAGTCTCTGATATCCTTCCTCCACCACGCCCTCCAGGGCTTTGTAATTGTCAGGATTTTCTGATTGCCGGAAGAAACTGATTCTGACTTTAGCAAGAAAAGGGACTTATTTGGCATAATGCTGGGTAGGTCACCAAATTGGTGGAGTGTCTAATCAAGCAGGCCTTGGGATGATGCACAGGTAAGACCAGTCTTGAGCAGAAGGGCCAGGCTACAGTGCAAGCTGCTCTACTACTAGAGCCGCAAGAGCCAGCCAACCTCGTGGCGCTGGAGGGACCTCTTCTGTGGTAGGTCAGGAGGCTGCGTGGAGCCGTTGGGAACCCCTGGCAGAAAGGTCCCAGCACAGGGCCATCAAGGGCTGGAGCAGGGCTGTACCTTCTGCAGTAGAGCCACTCGCCATTCAAAGAACAGCTGCTGCCATGCTGCTGGACCCTGGCAGGGCCTTAAAACCTGACCATAGGACATGAAGCGCCTGTGTGACCAGAGCTGCCTATCATGAGCTGAGTATTGTCAGACCCACCAAGTCATGAGGCCAGGCAGGCACAGCAGTAATTCCATGCAATGGTGCATTCAGGACCCGGTGGGCAGTGGGGCTCCCTGTGACTGACAGAGGACAACACTCAGACCCAGTTCCTCCATGGGTCATCTCATTAAGTCAGTACTAGAAAAATGCAGCCTCACTCAGGGTGGCCCTAGGGACAGTGATGAGGGGAAATCCTTCCAGTGAGCAGTACGATAGATTGTCTACTTTGCAGAGGGAGAAATAGCCTGAGATACAGGTGTCCAAGGACTCCTGGGCAGTGGGAAATGGCTTGGCTAATTGGTCAGCGACTCTGGCAGAGTAAGATTGGAAAGTGAGAGACAAGGTATGGAGAAGAGTGACCTAAGGGAGTGCATGGGAAGTGTGTGGAGCTCTGTGCCTCACGCCCACACCACCAAGGCGCTGCACTGCAGAGGGGGAGTGCAATCGCCTGGCAGAGGTCAGCCAGCTTCTCTCCATGGTGCAATGGACCCATGACGGGCAGCGGCCATTGCGGAAGGGCTAGAGGCTCTGCATAAGCCCAACAGCAGGGCTGCCTCTCACCACGGCTGATCTAGACACTGCCCCTAATCATTGTCCCACGACCAGCAGCAGAGACTGACGCTGAGCCCTCAATGTGCCGCCATTCCTTAAGAAGATCAGCCGGCCATTTGGTGGCAGGTCGCAAATCGTTTTCTGGGTGAAACCCGGGATAAGAAACTCACATCCCTTCTCCAGCTTCTAGGCAGGTGCACCGTTCCTGATTTCTGTCCTCTACACCAGGAGCCAGGGAGGAAAGGAAGGGCTTTGGAGGAGCCTTCCCCAACCGCTGCTGTCTAATTAAACAGCCGTGTGTGGTTGAGGATTCCCTCACTTGCCGGAGCCTGGACACGAAGCGCGCCACAATTTAATCAAGTGATTTTCCGCAGCCAGGGGCAGGGGCTCAGCAGCTCTCTCAGGCACCCCTGGGAGCACAGCTCTCAATCTGCTGCTGCTTTCCAGGCAAAGGCCTTCTCCCTCCAGGCTTGTCCAGGACGAGGAGACAGGTCGTGGGAGAGGAGAGGAAGGGATGGAGGGACTGTTAAAGCGCTGGGCCCAGGTGGGGGCTGGGGCTGAGGGGCAGGTACACGGCCCACCCAGGCTGGTCGTCCCGCGCGAGAGCCCCAGGGCAAACGAAGCCCCTTGGACGACTGTCCCCACAACCCACCCACCGGTGCTTTGCTTTTCTCGTTTCCTTTTTCTTTCCCTCTTTTAAACAAAGGTGTCCATTGCAAAGGCAGCAAGTGAATGGCTGAGTTGAAGGAGGGAAGCACTTATTGAAGAGAAGCCAAAGGGAGGCATTAGGACTGCTGCGTCCACGACCTGGGAAAGGGGCTGAAACCATGTCCCCTTCCCGAGGCACCAACTCTCTCTGGGGAATGCGGGCAGGCGGCTCCTCCTTACAGGACACCTCTCTCCCGCAGCCGCACCGCGCAGACAACACACCCCGTGCCAAGCGCCTCGGGACGGGAGGCCATGGTCGCTGGGTGCCGGCCCCCTCATTTCGTCCATCCTCCGCCCCAGCTTCCCGCGCCGGCTCCCGCGGCCCGGCCGCCACCCAGCCCAGCTCCCCTCCTCGCCCCCGCGCGCGTGCGCCCCGTCCCCGCGTCCCTCCCCCGTCGCCGCGGGCGCGCGCGCGTGCCCGTCGTCCCGGGCGGGAGCTGCAGACGGCCGGCCGGCTGCGGGCCAGAGAACGGGCGCCCAGAGCGTCGAGAGCGCGGCCCGGCGAGGCGGGAGCGCGGGCGCTGGCCTGGTCGCGGACGGGAGCCGCCGCCGCCCTGTTGGCGGGCCGGGCCGCGGCGCCGAGCGCGAGGGCCGGGCTCCCGGGGCCGGAGGCCATGGGCGGGAGCCGGAGGCGGCAGCGACAGCGGCAGCGGCGGGCCCCGCGGGCGGGGAGGCGCGCGGTCCACCGCCCCTGACGGCCCCCGGCGGCCCGAGCGCCCCCGCGCCTTCTGGGGGGCCGTAGCCAGGCAACGCCCGGCGTGCCCGCCCATCCCCCCGCTGCCCTTTTTTTCCTGGCCGGGTGCGAGGGAGCATGCCCGCGCCTGGCCGCGGCCAGCCAAGAGTTAACCTGAGGGGCGTGGAGCTGCCCCCCCCTCGGGGGCGTGCCCCCCTTCCCCGCTAGGCGGCCAGCCCCCCGCGCTGAGGTATGGCCCCCTGCCTGGGCCGGGGACCCGAGGTCCCGCGTTCGCGTTCGGGCTAGTGAAAGGCGTCTTCCTGTTCCCGCCCTCCTCCTCCCCTCGCCGGCTAGCACCATGGGATGTAATATGTGCGTGGTCCAGAAACCGGAGGAGCAGTACAAAGTGATGCTTCAGGTAGGGCGGCTCAGCATCTGGGGCGAGGACGCGGCCCTCGGTGGGACGGAGAAGGCCCGCGGGGAGGGCCAGGTGGAATCGGGGCAGCAGGCGTGGGAGAGCAGGAGGGCTCAAGGAGGAAAAGGTAGGGAGCCATCCTCACGCTCATTCTGAGATTGCTGGGTGTTGGCGCTCCGTGGGAACCAGCCACGGATGGGGAGAACTGGGTGGGGGCGGGGGTGCGAAGCGCATGACTTGGGCGCCCGGAGTAGATTGGGATACGAGCCCTGCGTGTAGATCAGCCCGGGGTGGGAAGTTGGAGCCGGTTGGGGTGGGGCGCGCTTCGATCCCAGGCCCAGGAGCCGGGAGGCGCGGTGCGGCCAGCGCGGGATGGAGGTTGCATAGCAACGGGCTCCGTTTCCCGCACACGCTGTCCCCGCAGGACCCAGGGCGGGGGAGGCAGCTGGGCGCCCGCGGTGCAGGGGGCGGCTGCATCCCGGTCCCAGCGGGCTTTGGGCGCTGGAGCGCGCGGGCATCCCGGGGCGCTGTCGACGACAGGCTGGGGGCTGGGTGCCCACCCTGGCACCCACTCCCCGACCTGGCCCTGCCCGAACGGTGGGCTCTCGGGCCTTGGGCGTCTCGGGTGAGTGGGCGCTGCCAGGATCAGCGAGGAGGGCCGTCTGCGGGCGGCTGTGCCTGTCCCGCGCTCTGCCCGGCGGCCGGCTCTCTCCGCCTGTCGGGGTCTTGGGGGGTGTGGGCCTGTGGTGAGCTGCTGGGAGAGAGGAGACGCCGGGCGGCGCGCTCGAAGGGAGCCCAGCCCCATGGCCCGGAGCGGGGCTTCTTGCCCGTGCGTGGCGTGACTACGTGAGTGCGTGCCTGTGACCCGTCTGTGTGTGCGCGGAGGCTCCTTCGGCCCCGCACGTGTGTACTTTCTGTGTGCACCCTGCGAGCCGTCCAGAGAAATGTCCTCAGGGTGTGGCCTGAGACCTGGGGCTAAGTGGAGGGAGGTGAAGGTCAGAGGGTGTCGGGACTCAGGAGCAGACCGGCGCAGACAGGTATGCGTTTAGTGGCTTGGGCTCGAACTCCCCGGTTTACTGGCCACGACTGGGAGGGGAGCAAGTGCTTGCAGGAAGGGTGTGGGCTGGGGAGAACGTGAGGGGCGGACTCCTAGACGAATGAGGGGAACCCCTGCGACGCGGCGGGGGGCAAAGAATTCGAGTGAATCTGGGGATAGGCATTCCTGCTGTGAGCTGAGTTCCTTTGGTCACCGGGGGCGAAGGTGAGGGGCGGGACGGAGCGGTAGCACATCTTTCTCCAGACTGGCGGCGCTCCTGGCCCCCTCTCTCCGGCCCCTCTCCGGGGCCCTTCCGCTTCTCCCTCTCGCTGCCCTCCGCTTTCTTCCCTCTCAATTCTCGCCTCCCGGATGCTGCTTCTCGTCTCTTCCGCTGTTTGGAAACCTTGCCTGGCTATTGCCATTGCCCTAGTGGGATAGGGATTTGAAATAACCCAGGCTGCGACCAAGAGGACGTCCTGTACAATCTCGGTGTTGGATTCCGGGACAGCGGGCGATAGGTGGGCTGCGATGGTTGCTGCTCGATGGGGACTGTGGAATCATTCCATCAAGCGGCAGGCGATTCCAACGGGGCTGTCTTGACTTTCTCGGAGAAGGATTGCTGTAGCGCTTCGTTTAAGGGGACGTCTGGCTGGGGCTGCGGGGAGGTTCCCTGTGGGAAGAAGGCCTGAGGTGAGCCTGGGTGAGAGTGCCTGAGCTGCACCTTCCTCCTTAAAAGAGTCCCAAGTTCTCCCTCACAGGAGGGACTTGCCCTTGGCAAGGCAGCCCGCCAGGCGGAGGGCCATTGTAGGGCAGCTGCCCTCTGCTCTCTTCCCTAGCGGCTGCAGCTGTCACTGATCAGCTCCCAGGGGATGCTGCTCCCATGGAAAGCTCCAATGGAAACTTGGACACAAACTTTTACTTTCTACATTCATGAAGTTTCAAAAGCAGAACCAGCCTTTAAAATTAAGGGAAAACATAGGAGTTCGAGGTTGTAGTAAGCTGTAATTGGGCCACTGCAATCCAGCCTGGGCGACAGAGCGAGATCTTATCTCTAAAAAATAAATAAATAAATAAATAAATTAAATTAAGGGAAAACAAAAGGGAATTGAAAATGTATAGAAAGCAGTGAAAACCATTAGATATCTCAGGTGACTGCACATCTCAGGGATGGATGCCCAGGACAGCAGGGAGAACTTCACCAGGCACCAGCCTCTTCTCAGAGAAGGAAGCTTTTGTCCCAAAAGACCAGTCAGCTTCCAAGACCCCTGGCTTGGCTTCCCAGAGCTCCCTTAACATGGGTGCTCCCCCATCTTCAGGGGGCACTTCTTCCTGTCTCTCCCTCAGTGACCTCATCCACACCCACTGGAGGCTTGTGCACCTTGTCTGAGTGAGGGACCTCACTGAGACACAATGTAGTGTGATTTTCAGAAAAATGAACATGTGCACCCGCAGCACTTGCCGTATAACTTTCTTGTACCAGAGTTCCCGGGAGCCTCTTCCTAGACTCACAGAGGGCTGTGACCCCCAGGTTAGGAACTCCCAGAGTCTCTATCCTGGCCTTGCATTCCAGGCCATTTTCTCCCAGTGATTCACATGCACTTAACAAAATTATAGCTTTATTGAGACATAATTCAAATACCATATAATTTCCCTTCTAAAATGTACAATTCAGTGGGTTTTAGTATATTTGTAAAATTGAGCAACCATAACCACTAATTCCAGAACATTTTCCTCATCTTAAAAAGAAAACCCAGGGCCGGCGCGATGGCTCACGCATGTAATCCTAGCACTCTGGGAGGCTGAGGTGGGAGGATCGCTCTAGGCCAGGAGTTCGAGACCAGCCTGAGCAAGAGCGAGACCCTGTCTCTACTAAAAATAGAAAGAAATTAGCTGGACAAGTAAAAATATATAGAAAAAATTAGCTGGACATGCTGGTGCATGCCTGTAGTCCCAGCTACTCGGGAGGCTGAGGCAGTAGGATCGTTTGAGCCCAGGAGTTTGAGGTTGCTGTGAGCTAGGATGACGCCATGGCACTTGAGCATGGCCAACAGAGCAAGACTCTGTCTCAAAAAAAAAAAAGAAAACCCATACTCATGAGCAGTCACTTCCCCATTTCTCCCCAACACCCCCAGCCCCTGGCAAGCACTAAGCTACTGTCCATCTCTATGGATTTGCCTGTTCTAGACATGTCATATAAATGGAATCATACAATCTATGACCTGCTGTGTCTGACTTCTTGCATTTATCATGTTTTCAAGGTTCATCCATGTTGTAGCATGTATCAGTACTAAATTTCTTTTTATCACCAAGTAATATTTCATTGTACGATAAACAACGTTAATAGTTATCTGCTTATCAGTTGATGGGCATTTGGGTCACTTCCACCCTTGGACTATTGTGAATAACACTGCCGTGAACATTAGTGTATGATACAAGTATCTGTTTGAGTCCCTGCTTTCAATTGTTTTGAGTGTATACCTAGAAATGGAATTGCGGGATCATATGGTAATTCTGTTTAACTTTTTGAGGTGCCATCGAACTGTTTTCCACAGTTGAACTGTTTTCCACAGTGGATGTACCATTTTAAATTCCCACTAGCAATGTATAAGGGTTTCAATTTCTCTACATCCTTGCAGATATTGTTATTTTCTGTTTTGTCATTAGAGCTAGCCCATTGGGTGTGAAGTGGTATCTCACAGTGGTTTTGATTTGCATTTCCTGTTGGCTAAATGATGTTGAGCATTTTTTCATGTGCTTATTGGCCATTTTTATATCTTTGGAGAAATGTCTGTCCTTTTGCCCATACCACACCGCTTTGATTAATGCAGCTTTGTAATAAGTTTTGAAATCAGGAAGTGTGAGTCCTCCAACTTTGTACTTATTTTTCAAGATTGTTTTCTCTATTCTGGGACCCTTGAGCTTCCATATGCAATTTAAGATCAGCTTGTTAGTATCTGAAAAGAAGCCAGCTGGGATTTTGATAGAGGTTGCATTGAATCTGTGGGTCAGTTTGGGGAATATTGCCCTTGAGAATGGGGTGTCTTTTTCCACTTATTTTAGCTTTTCTTTAATTTGTTTCAACAATGTCTTGCACTTCCTTTGTCGAGTTTATTCCCGAGTATTTTATTCTTTATGATGCTATTGTAAATGGAATTGTTTTCTTAATTTCATTTTTGGCTTTCTCATTGCCACTGTATAGAAATATAATTGATTTTTATACATTGATCCTGTATCCTGTAACCTTACTGAACTCATTTATTATCTCTAATTGTTTTTTAGTGGGTTCCTCAGGATTTTTCATATGTTAGGATCATGTCACTGGTGAATAGTTTTTTTCTTCTTCCTTTCCAATCTGGACGCCTTTTGTTTCTTTTTCTTGACAATTTGCTTTGGCTAGGACCTCCAGTACAATGTTGAATAGAAGTGGTGAGAGCGGGCATCCTTCTCTTGTTCCTGATCTAAGAGGGGAAAAAAGCTTCTAGTCTTTCACCAGTATGGAGTTACCTGTGGGTTTTTCATAGATGCCATTTATCAGGTTGAGGAAGTTCCATTCTATTCCTAGTTTGAGTGTTTTTATCATGAGGGGTAGTTGGATTTTGTCAAATGCTTTCTCTGTGGCTACTGAGAAGATCGTGTGGTTTTGTTCCCTTATTCTACAGATAGGGCCTATTGCATGTGGCATGGCAGGACTTCAACCCATTTCCATTATTCCAGGCATGTCCTCCTAGCATACTTAACCAAGCAAGGAGGGGGGATGAGCTCGGAAAATCTGGGACTGCCCCTGAAAAGGGGGGATGACTGTGTGTTAAGCAAGGAAGAGGAAGTAGCCGGGTGACCGAGAGTGGAAAGGCAGGAAGGAGCATATACCTGGCACTGAGCCTGTGTCCCTCTTATTTGCCACCTGGCCCCCATGTCCTGTATCTAATCATGCTCCACACGCTACTGAGCTATCTCTTTGGCTCATTGT